ATGTGAAGATATCTGAAATGAATCGAGATTAGAATATAATAAGATCTGGAAAACTGTAGATCCCTTTTATATAGAACAGCTTTAAGTCTGTGACATTGGATCATTAGAGACTCCTTTAAAGTTACAGTTGGAAGGATCTGTAATGTATTTCCAGGCCCTAAAATAGAAAAGGTGCTTGTCATGAGTTTGTGACCAGCTGTCATCCACAGATTATTCAGTAAAGGCAGTTTCTCCCTAGGGAATTGTATTTCTGTACTGTTTATAACTATAAAAGTGATTTAAAGACAGGTTGTTTATTATGGCATTAATAAATTGATGAGTGTATTTAGTAATACATTTTGCAAACCTTTTCAAAGATGGGATTACAGCACTGGCTATTAGGAGGCTATTAATGAAATAGGCAATAGAAATGGAAAATGCAATTAAAAGTAAAGTTCACAGCAGTAATATTCACCAAGCTGAATGTAAAACCAGATACATTTCGTGTGTAGGAAATATTGAGCAGAAGAAGCGTCCTCTTTTAGTTTGCTTGCTCTGTTGTTCTTTCCTGCAAGTGATTGCTTTTTATAGAATGAGCACTTTAAAGTGCTCTCTGTATGTTTTAGTATTTTTTCTGTTCTCCACACACACACACACACACACGCACGCACGTGCACGTATGGGCACAGACACTATCTGTAAAAACACAAAGGTATACTTATTTACTTATTTTCTTAATTAGAGTCTAACAATGTAAAGCAAAATCTCTACAGCCATGCATCTAAAGGTTGCTGTAAAATGCTTGTCTTCAACATTGCCAAGTTATGAGTCTGCTCCCCCTGCAAAATTAATTGAAATAAAGAAGCTCTCAGTGCTTCTAAAATATTAATATGCTAAGACAGCTATCCAGTTGGCAGCCCACAGGCCACATGAAGCCCAGGAGGGGTTAACCTGTGGCCCGTAGGCTCCTGGTCTGTGCACCATTCCCTCCACAGTTCCCTGCTGTTGTCACCAGGCTCTTCAGGCTCTGCCTTCTAATTCCTGTCCCCACCCTGCAGGGCAGGATGGCTGGATGGGACAGAGCAGGGGGTACGCTGTGCAGTACAGCTCTGGGGAGCGGGGGTGGGGGGAGATATTCTATGCGGCATGGTAGCAGAAGACACAGAGTCCAGCCGGGAGGGCATGTGGCCTCAAGCCTGTCAGAAGTTGCACAGCCCTGTACTGAGGTTTCCTTTTCTAGTGGGCAGTTTATGCCAGTATGCTCTCTCAAACAGTGACCAGAACCATAGGCTGTTGTCATAAAAGAACTACAGGCATCACTGAGCTCCATTGACTGTTGTTCCAGTGTTTATACGCTGGTTCCAAGGGGCTCGGTGACTTGTCTCCCATCAATTTACCTTTAGCACGCATGCTGTGAAGTCATTTAATATTTGTACTTTAAAGTCAAAGCAGCATGGATATGAGGAAACTAGGGCCCAATTCTGTCTGTCCTCAAATAGGAGCTTTTTCCACCAGGGCAGGGGGCATGGACGGATGATCAGCCTGGCTCCCGGCTGCAGGGAAGCCTGCAATGGGTGCTTTACTTCCCTGCCTGAGCCAGGCCAATCACCCAGCCAAGCCCTCTGCTTGGCTGACAGGCCAGCTGAGGAGGGACTGGAGGGGAAAATGCGCCCCTCCAAGCACCCTGGCTTTGGACCCCAGCCAGGCTGTGCCCAGCACAGGGGGTGGGGGACCCTCAGTGGGAGCCGTTTTCCCCCCACTCTCTCATCAGCCAACCTGCCAGCTGGGGCGGGGGCATGGCCGGGTGATCACCCCAGCCTCTGGATCAGATCAGGGCTGCAGGCTTCCCTGCAGCTGGGAGCTGGGCAGCTAACCCTGTGATATGTTCTCCTCGGCCAGCAGGCTGACTGAGAAGGAAGTGGGGAGGAAAAACAGCAGCCTCCTCCCCCTCCCTCTCCCACCCTCATTGCAGACCCCTGCTGCGTCCCAAGAGCGGAGGAGCAAGCACAACCCCTGGTGCTGCCACTTTGCTGGAGCCGGCCTATGGGGGTCAGAGCATCAGGGCTGTCCGGCAGTTCCTAGGCAGAGCTGTAGCTTATCCCTGCCCCTGCTGGGGAGCCAGGCCTGCCCTGCGCCCTCTGTGAGTGTTGGGCAAGTCCTCCCCTCCTGCATGGCCAGAGCCAACCCCTGCTGCCCATCAGCCCTGCCTGGCACAGCCTCTGTGGCTCCTAGCCCACTCCACCCACCAGGCTGTGGCAGGGCTACAGCGGGCTGACACTGGAGGAGGGAGGGGGCTCATATCCCAGGCTGTAGCTCCCTTGCCGCAGCCTGTCCTGTAGTGCGGGGCTCCCCAGTGAGTACAGCCCACAGCCTGGCAGGTCCTGTGGGGCAGCTGGGGGGAGGGGAATGCCCACCCTGTGCCCAGCAGAGGGGGGAAGCCAGCAGTGGGGGCTTTATTCCCTTGCCGGCTTGGAGCTGGGTTGATTCCCCAACAGGGGAGGGGGTGAGGCAGGGGAATCCACCCCATTCCTGGCTGCTGGAGATGGAAAAGTCCCTGCTGGCAGCTGGGGCCAGCCCTGCTCTGCTGGAGCAGAGAGCACAGAGCACAGCCCAGGGCTAAGAAGCATGACGGGATGCTGGGGGACTCTGATTTAATGTAAACCGGGAAAGGGTGTGGGACAGAAGATACATAAACCAGTTTGACCCAGATCAGTTAAGTCTGATACTACATTCAATCAGGTTTGTCTTAAACCAGTTTTGGCCATTTTGAAACTGGTTTAAGTGCACTAAACTACGTTCTGTTACAGGTTTCAACCAGTTTCTGATCACTTAAACTGGTTTATGTGCAGCTTCCATCCCTAGCCTTATAGGGTGCTTGTACATGCATCAAAATTGGCCTTTAAAGCAGCTTAATTGGTCTTTTGCACTGCTTTAGTAGCTTTGCTATTTACACCTTCGTCAGTGTATTTCGCTTTAATGTCATGACAATGTACACGTTCGACAGCATATTTCACTTTAAATGACCTTGTTACATCATGTAATATTTTAGTTTGCTACATAACAAAGTGCAACCTTGCACAGGGAGCTGGAAGCCCAGACATGCTCAGGGAAGCTGCAGCTTGGTGGGATTCCAGTGCCCCATGCAGCAGTCCCACCGCCTTCTCCCGCCACCAGCACACCCAGCCACCATCCTGCTGCCTTGCTGCACTGCCCCAGGGGCAAGCCAAGCTGTTCCTGGGTGGTCCAAGGTGGCAGGAAGGCGGTGGGGACAGTGCATGGGGTGCTGGAGCTTGCCTGCCTCTCCCACAGCTGGAGGACCAGCTGCTGGAGAGCCAAGCAGCTCCTGAGCTTTGGGGGACCCTGGACCTTCCCTCCAGCACCCTCCTGCTAGCACCCCGTCCAGGCGGTCCTGGGGGGTGCTACCACTGTGAAAGGAAGCCCTGGGCAGCTCAGGCTGTGCAACCCGGTGGCAGCTCATGCAGGCAGGCTCCACTGAGAAAAAAAAGAAAAAAGCAGTGAGGGGCCTGATCTTTTTCTTTTTTTTTCCCTCCCAGAGCCTGCCTGCCTGCCTGCCTGAGCTGCGCAGGGCCTGGTGCTTCCCTCCACAGTGGCAGTGCCCCCTGGGACCAGCTGGGTAGGCTGCTAGTGGGCAGATGCTGGTCAGGGTGCACCGCCACCTCAGAGGGAAGGACTGGGGTCCTCTGCAGCTCAGGGACCAGTCGGCCTGCCGGCAGCTCAACCCCCGCACTCCCCACCACGGCAAAGGTAGGTGGGCTCTGGGGGTGGAAAGATCAGGCCCCTCACCTTTTTTTATTCTGGTGCAGCCTGGCCAAGGCAGGGGGAGGCAGGTGTGCTGACGGGGGACCATAACACACTGTGAGGTCACATGACATGACGGAGGTCCCTAAATTGAAATGGTGGGTTTTTAAATGACACAATTAAAAACCCACCAATTAAAAACCCACCATTTTGATTTAGGGAGAACTAAACCCCTGTCACATGTACAAGCACCCATAGTTTATTTTATTATAGATTCAGAATGCATTGTTTCTCCATTGTTTGCAAAGAGAGAAGAAAATGATAGTGCAGTCAAACAACTGAATCAAGTATTTGTTTTAGAGTTAGAGCTGATTGGGAAATACATTTTATTGCTAGTTTGGATAAAGCTAAATATTTATGACAATTGTTGTAACAGAGAAGTTTCTAAAAATAGAAACATAACATTGGGGCACACTCAACAAATAATTAAAGGCATACTTTCTATTGTATGAGCAAATCAAGTACTTTACTGTGTCAGAGGCTAGTTAGGTGCCACGTTAATTATGTCCATATATATATAACTAATGTGTATTCAAAGCAACACTAACTGTATGTACTGACATTCCTGTGCGCTATTTAGTTATAATTTTTTCGCATAACATTACTTTTCAGTTTTTTTAAATGTAAGCCTTTCTGTAATTTATGTATAAAATCAACTGAGCACTTAAAACAATTTTGCTTCTGTTTGGAAAATATTTACACTAGATTATTCTTGTATTAATGTTGTAGTCCCTTTAAGTGTACAATAAAATGTGTGTGACAAAGGAGCCTTGTACAATTATAGGATGTAAAGATACTTGAATACTGAAACTCTTCAGAGTGGTATATTTACTTTATCTCTGAATAGTAGCAGTCAAAATTCAGAGCTGCTGGCTAGCTGTCCAAATGTTTCTTGCATTAGAGCATTGTAAATTGCATTAGGATATATTGCATTGCTCAAGTTGCTGTAAAATGGACAACTCTTACAGTCTAAATTTTTACAGGCTACAGTATGGATGGTTAGCATACTTCTTGATCAAATTAGCGTCCTCCCATTGGCATTTGTACTTCCGAAACAATGAGGTATACTGTTTGAAATTTGGGTCTAGAAGACTATATTTGCAGGTCAGGAGCAGTACATAGGAAATTTATTCTAAGAATGAGACAAAGGGAAACAAATTAATTTTGAGTAAGAACTTTTCCTGTTCTTTTGGCATTTCTAGGCAGCAAACATCCCACTGGCATCAGAACTTGGCATCGATGACATCCATTTTGATGACTTTTCACTTGATGTGGATGCCATGATTACTGCAGCCCTCCGCATGTTCATGGAGCTTGGAATGGTTCAGAAATTTAAAATTGACTATGAGGTAACCATCTGTTCTATAAAGATATCTGCCACTTTTGTCTTGGCAGTGTTATGTCCGTTTGTACACATTTTAGTAGCCCTGATACAATTTGTACTTTTCATTTCAGACATTGTGTAGGTGGCTTTTGACAGTTAGGAAGAATTATCGAATGGTTCTGTATCACAACTGGAGGCATGCTTTCAACGTGTGCCAGCTGATGTTTGCAATGTTAACTGTAAGTATCTATTCAGAGAGACAGTTCCATAAGAGCTTTTATTGTCATGATATCTTACCTATCTAAACATGTTTTCCCCAATATTTGTTTTCTAGTTATGATATTAATTTATTTGAAATAGAAATGTACAAGAAATTAGGACATCCAACTTATAGCATCACATATTTGGCAACTTTTTTAGTATTTTAGCAACAGTGTTATTGCAGGCACATTAACATGACTAATAACAGATGGCAGTTTTGGAGGACTATATTATTATCTAGCTCTCAATTTTACAGCAGTGATTTCCTTTCCTGATTTTGCATTTACTTCTGTCTTTGAAAATGGAGGTCACAAGAACGTGGAAGATTAGGATTGTTTGGTGTGTTTTTCTGTCCTAGTTTCATTTAAATTGATATAGATGACATTGCCCTAAAACATTTTAGCAATGGTCTTAGCTGTGAACTATATGGTTCCTACAAACTCCGTAGACAGCATAGTACTGTGTTCTGCTATCAGCAATCATAGAGTCTTATCTCCTGTCAGCATAAAAGTAACTCTTGGTGATGCTAATAATCTCTTTTACCTGTAGAAAACATCACTACAGGATAGAATTCATATTTTCAAAAGTTGGTAATGGTATTCTGCAAGTAAGATGGGGCAACTGACAACTGACGCCCAGGAAAAAACCAACCTATTAAATAGGTACTTTGTGTCGGTCTTTCATCGGTCCCATGGGACGCCCATGCCCGCTACGGGACAGGGAAGTCCAGGTGCGGGTGATCCCCTGCCCTCCATTGATGCTGACTTCGTGAAGGAACATCTTGAGAAGCTGGATACCTTCAAGTCAGCCGGCCCTGACAATCTTCATCCCAGGGTACTCAAGGAGCTGGCGAGCATCATAGCCCAGCCTCTAGCATGGATCTTTGAAAACTCTTGGCGCTCTGGTGAAGTGCCCGAAGACTGGAAGAAGGCCAATGTGGTGCCTATCTTCAAGAAAGGGAGGAAAGTGGATCCGGCTAACTATAGGCCCATCAGCCTGACTTCTATCCCGGGGAAGATCTTAGAAAAGTTTATTAAAGAGGCCATCCTTAATGGACTGGCTGACGCCAACATCTTAAGGGATAGCCAGCACGGGTTTGTTGTGGGTAGGTCTTGCTTGACCAATCTCATTTCCTTCTACAACCAGGTGACCTATCACCTGGACAAGGGAGAAGAGATTGATGTCATATATCTTGACTTCAAAAAAGCCTTTGACCTGGTTTCCCA